GCTTAGTAAGCTTAGGCTTAGTAGGCTTGGGCTAAGACTCAGCAGCCTTAAGGTTAGTAGACTAAAGCGCACGCAGAGTAGGCTTACGGTAATTTAAAGATCTACTGAAAGAGTTAAAGTAGAGTTAAATTGGCTAACGCCAGGTAAGGTATAGCACAACGCCAATAATACCATCTACAACATCATTGTAAAAAGACACAAAGAAAAAAGACAGTACTCGCAGTAATTTTTTTTTTCGTTTTACACCGAGGCAAATATTACAAAAGTAAGCAATATTACACAAGAAAAGGTGACGTAATCCGGATTCTTGCAATTTCTCTAAGGCTATACAACTATGCCATATGATTATGTCACACCGCAAAACTTTTATAATTTTTTTCGACCTACCTTACCTTATCGTACATTACATCACCCCACACTAACCAACACTATTTTAATTTACCCAACCTTACCCTACCCTACCTTAAAATCGAAAAAATGACAAAAATTTGTTTTTAAATTTTTAAAACCCAACCAAAAAAATCATTCTCAATTAGCAAAAACCCATTTGAAAAAAACGACAAATTGCCTAAGGGTTAAAACAACAAAACCCTCATGATATTACCCATTAGAGACAGCTAACGACCAGCCGAGCAAAACCGTGAATCAGCCAACAAATTTCGAATTTTGGGCTTTGAAATCGGCCAAAATTTAAATTTAAAAAATTTTGAAACGATCAGTGGCTTTATCGTGCCCTGCTCTGCTCTACCGCATTCTACTTTACCCTACCGCACCCTACCCTACCCTACCCTACCCTACCCTACCCTACCCTACCCTACTCTACCCTACCCTACCCTACCCTACCCTACCCTACCCTACCCTACCCTACTCTACCCCACCCTACCCTACCCTACCCTACCCTACCCTATCCTACCCTACCCTATACTGTCTATAGTACCATTACTAGGTCTACTCTAGCCCTATTCTACCTTACCCTAAACAATACCACCTACCCATAATAATAAATTTTTCAAAATGTCATGTTACATGATGAAACGTCTTCCATGTATTATCTCCACCCTACCTTATTTTGCCTCTACCTTACCTTCTTTACCTTCACCCTGCCTGACTTTAACTATACCCTGCCTTACATTAACTCTACCCAGTTTTTCTGTAACTCTACCATTGCCAAATGAATAGAATAATGCCTATTATAAACTAAAAAAGTTTTTGCCTTATTTCCGCAGTTTTTTCTTAGTTTTGTATTCGAATAAAATGGATAACAGTGCACAATGGGGGATGACTAAGAGCCGTACAAAAGATACGAAAACGTATTGCAATTGTATCAAATTCGGGCTTTTAACAAAAAATATTTTGACTTTACAAAAATCAAAATTTATATAAAAAACTTCAAAATAGCTTTAAAATGCCAAAAAAAAATTTTTAAATAAAAAAGGTTTTTTATGTTTAAAGTTTTCAACAAAAAAGCTAACCTGTTTTTCTTGCTCGAAAACAGCGTTGATAAAGATCAACAGATAGGTCCTGGTTATTTACTGCTTCCTAGTTTCTTCATCGATGAAACTAGGAAGCCAAAGTTAATATACTTCCTTAGCTGCAGCTTTAGAAATAGAAAAACCGAGCCATATTCAAACTCTTCGGTTTAGCCCTACCACATGGACATAGTCAAGAGCCCTAGCCTAGAGCCCTAGCTTTAGCCCTTTCCAAACCCCTAGCTTTAGCTATAGCCCTAGTCTTAGATGTGACCCTATCGCCTAGCGCCACTCTAGCCTTTTAAAATACGTTTTACTGCCGTAAACATGCCTTGGTCCTAGCCTAAACCGTAGCTTAGAACCCTGCCGTAACCCAAATCGAAGACCTAGCTTTAGCAAAAGCCCTAGCCTAAGTCCTAGCTTCAGCCCTAGCCTAAGCCCTAGCCTAAATCCTAGCTTAAGCCGTAGCCTAAACCGTATCCTAATCCGTAGCCTAAGCCCTAGCCTAAGCCCTAGCCTAAGCTCTAGCTATAACCCTCGACCTATTTTTAGCCTTTGCCTAGACCCAGTACTAGCCATAGTCCTAGTCTTTGCCGTAGGCTTGGCCTTAGCTCTGCCTTGGCCCAAGCCTTAGTCTTAGCTTCGGCCCTAGCTCTGGCCCTAGCCTCTGCCATATAATTAGCTCTACCCTTAGTTCTACCCCTAGCTCTAGCCCTAATCCGAGCCCTGGCCTTTTCCTTAGTCTAAACTTTAGTCACAGCCCTAGTCATAGCCTTCGCGCTAACCTTAGTCTTTACACAGGACCTAAGCTTAAACCTAAGCATATAGTAAAACTCGATCAAGGTCTTTTCGACAAAAACATAAACAACAAATATTCTATAGTAAACTTAAGAAACCTTCCCATAACATGCCCTTTAATAACCTTTATATTAACCTTACTGCTAAAAAACAATTCCAAAAACATAACCGGCCGTTATCGAAACGTTCAAAATATTTGTGATAAAATCGAAAAGACGCCCAATTTATGAGAGTTCCAAAAAGAGAACGGACAAAGAAAGAAAAACTTTGTTTCCAACGTGAAAACGATTGCGCACGATAAATGAATGACATCTGAAGAGGGATGGGGGAAGACATTTTGCTTGTTTTTTGTAAAAGTAAGATAGACAGTTAGTGTTTATCCAGATTTTATAGAGGCCAGATTTTATAGGGGGGTGAGTTAGAAGAAAAGGGGAGAGTGAGTACTAAAGGCAGGGGGGGGTGAAGGAGTAGTAAAGGGAGGAGGGGGGAAGAGGATAACAGTTCGCCTAGGAATTAGGGTCTGATTAGGAATAGAGGTAGGAATAAAGCTGACGCTTGCAATGCTATGGCTAGAATTAAAATTGTGAGTGATCAGCCAGCCTAAGTTTACGGCTAAGCTAAAGCTTGATCCAAAGCCTGACATTGAAACTAAGACGAAACTCCTGAACCTTCGATTTAGCCTAAGGCTCAGATTTCGCTTTAACCTGAACTTGAGCTGACTTTGAGCATAAAGCAAAGCTCAAACATAGGCCTAACTCTTAGCCTAAGCCTAAAAAACAAAAATAAGGCACAGTAGCCAAAAACAAATGGCAAAAACTTTCTTTACAAACCATAAAACAAAAAGAACTTTCTTTACAAAACCTAGAATAGCAAGAACTTTCTTTACAAAACAAAAAATGGCAAGAACTTTCTTGACAAAACAAAAAATTGCAAGAACTTTCTTTACAAAACAAAAAATGGCAAGAAATTTATTCACAAATTAAAAAATAACAAAATTTTTCAATTTCAAAGGTTGAAATTTCAAGTTTTTTTCAAAAGAGTTTTCGCGATTTGTAACAAAAACGATTGTTCATTATGCGTCTCATTATACAAGATATTAGTCTTTCCCATTTGTCGTGACCCTTTCCCAGCAAATTTTTCGTTCAAAAAAATCAACAGATTAGCGAAATTAATTTTTTCGAATTCCTCGAGATTTCAAATTGAAAAACTTACAAGAATATTTTTTGAATTCTGTAAAGAAAGTTCTTGCCATTTTTTGTTTTGTAAAGAAAGTTCTTGCCATTTTTTATTTTGTAAAGAAAGCTCTTGCCATTTTTTGTATTGTAAAGAAAATTCTTGCCATTTTTTGCCCAAATTCAGTAACTATAACATACTATGTTAATGCCTTTTCCAATCAAACCCGTTTGTTACAAAAGTCATATAAATTCTAGCTGCTCATCATAGAAACAGTCTCTTTTTACTGCGCAATAACAATAAAAGTAAAAAAGAATATTAAAGGGGGGGGGGAGGGTTATCAACCTTGAAACTTGTTTCACTTTTTTTACAAGTTTATACCTTTTCAATTACTTTCTAATCAGTTATTGCGCGGTAAAAAAGAGTTTACTTTTTCACATAACATCAAAAAGTAGCAAGAACTTTCTTTACAAAACAAAAAATGGCAAGAACTTTGTTTACAAAACAACAATGGCAAGAACTTTCTTTACAATACGAAAAATTGCAAGAGCTTTCCTTACAAAAGATATAACTCGTTTATCGTATACCATGTCACCCTACTTAAGCCTAAAAATAAGAAAACCATAGAAAATCATAAAAAAGATACTCAGTCTAAGTCTAAGCTGAAGCCTCATCCTAAACCTAATCTTGAGACTAAGCCTAAGTCTACGACTCAGTCTAGGCCCAAGGCGTAGCCTAATCCTAGGCTAAAGTTTTATTCTGAAACTGAGCTTAAGACTAAGCCAAAGACAAACTCTAAACCCTAACCTACGCCTAACATTTGTAAGGCTAAGCATAAGCCTAAGTATAAAACTAAGCCCAATCGCCAAGCCCCCCAATTTGAATTAAAAATCATTTTTACCCGCAAAGAAACATAAAAAACGGTGATAAAAGCGAATCGTCGCTGAATGAGTCAATGAAACAAAAAAAACGAACACAAAAAAATAATTTTCCTCCGCCGAAAATCGAGGGGATTTTCTCGGCGAAACAAAAAACCGGCTTCCACTTGTTGATCTTTTAGCTGGATCGTCTTCGTCTTCATCCTCCCAACGTTCCGAATTTACAAGGCTTCATTAAGCGGGGGGCGATGCGGATTTAGATTTACACACCGTAGTTGGGGGATTTGTATGGAGCTTGTCAGAGGCGTCGCTAGGGGGTGGTTTTTGATACAAAAAAGAAGTTTGAAAAATCAGGCCATAATCTTGGCAAAAACTTTCTTTACAAATCAAAAAATGGCAAAAACTTTCTTTACAAAAAATAAAATAGCAAGAACTTTCTTTACAGAATGAAAAATGGCAAAAACCTTCTTTACAAACCAAAAAATTGCAAGAACTTTGTTTAGAAAACAAGAAATGACATGAACTGGTTTTTTAAGACCCCAGGCAGCCTGGGGACTAAAAAAAATTTAGAGTCTCCACCCCCGCCCCTCTCCCTCACAAAATTTAAAAAAAAAACCCCAAATTTCAAAAATCAAAATTTTCAAAAATTCAAAAAGCATTTCATTTTCAAATTCCGAAAAAATCAGTTTTTAATTTTGTTCCTCGGGCTCAGCTCCAACGCGGTATTAGTGAATGAGTACTGCGGTTCAACGGCTGTCATGACTCCAGATTCCTCTTCTGGTCGGCGAATCATGGCTTCTGGACGACCAGTCATGCCTTGATCTTCAGCGTGCCGGATTCTGGCTTCGGAATTTTGTTCTGCGTGACGGATCATGGCTTCTGATGCCGGATTCATAAAGTTTCGCATTTCCAGCGAGGCCTGGTTGGATTGGCCAATTTCGCCCACAAAATTGGCCTTCTGTTTCAGCATTGGCGTGTGTTGCCAGTCCAGTTTGGCGTATGGGTCGAGGTTTAGGCGCTCTTGTGCCAGCCTTAGTTGGTATTCCATCATTTCGTAGTGGGGACGGTCGGTGAAGCTGGAAGTGACAACTTAGTACCTTTACCCTACTCTACCGCACCATACCTTATATTGCCCTATTTTATACTACCATACCCTACCTTACCCTACCATACCCTACTTACCCTATCCTACCATACCCCTCCCCCTCTCTCAACCATTCCTACCTTAGAATGGTTGACAGAATGGTTGAGCTTAACTTGCCCTACCCTACCCACCCTCCAAAACCCCTCTCCTCACCTCAAGCTATCAATGATGGACAGGATATGGTCCAGCTCTTCAGGACAGTCCTGGAAGAAGAGTTCGCGGCCATGAACCCGAATGAATTGTTTCCAATCGCAGATGATTTTATGATGTTTTAATGGGTCCAGCTTTGCCCATGGTAGTGACCCGGCGCACAGTTCGACACACATATACAGCCAGCTCTCCAGGTCGTCTCGTCGACATTGTTCTTGATTCTGATGTGAAGCCAGCGAAGCGTAGTGGATCGTCCCTAATAAGGCTGCCGCCGGTCTTGGTGGTAACAGATTGCCAAATTTGTCTCTGAAAATGTGAAAATAAGAATGAAACTAAAAATTTTCAAAAACTTTTAAAATTTCAAAAAAATTTAAATTTCAAAAACTTCTGAAAATTTTAAAAATATGTGAACAAAAAAATTTTAAACACAAAAAAAAGTCAAAACCTAAAGATAATTCATTTACAAAGCCTATAAAGCCCATTTATGCCCAAAAAAAACCTTAAAAAAAGTAAATTACGGTAAACTTACTGTAACTCAAAAAATGCGGTAAAATTAAAAATTTTCTTTTTATCGCTAATTGTCAAAATCAATAATATACTCTCACTTTAAATTTTGAGCGTTTAACTGCATTTGTACAAAAGTTATGACAAAAAAATGGTAAAAAACCGCAAAAGTCTCGCAGATGAAAAGTAAAGCATCTAAAATACAAAAATGTAATTAACTGTTACCCAAACAATAAAAACTTTGTCGAAAACAAGCAAAAAAACTAGAAAATCAAGTCGAACAAGAAGAAAAAACTCAAAAGTGGTCGAAAATGGTCTAAAACAAGAATTTAAAACCAAACCCACCGATATCTCCTAGCAAACCCAAAGTCAAGCATATAAACAATGCCATCTCTATCATCCGATCCAATAGCAAAGTTTGGCGCCTTAATATCCCGACATAACCAGCCCAAATCATGCAATGTTTCGATCCGTCTCAGGGTTTGAATGCAAATTTGAAGGGCCGTGGACGTTGAGAAGCGTTTTCCAGGCATAGCTCGACGTAATCGGCCCAAATCCGGTCCCACTAGCTGCATTACGGCAAACTTGTAGTACTTGGTTCGATAAGCCGCCAATAGCTGTGGAAAGCCAATGTGAACGCCAAGTTGAGTTAAGACGAAGACATCTAGCTTTAGAACTGGCCTGAAATGGTGTTTTTGATAAAGTTCTGACTATTTTTAGCCGTTTCTCATCAACTTGATACCTAAAATTCGAAAAAATAAAGAATAAGCTCCTCACCTTATGTTGCCTTCCTCCCTTTCCACTTTCATTGCGTACAACTTGCTGGAGCGGGTTTCTCGGACGATAAACACATCGCTGAAAGGTCCTGATGCCAAAACTCGGATCACTTGAAAATCATACGTGGGATGCTTGATAATTGTACCAACTTGGGGCATTTTCGGGTCGTCAACATTGTTCGAACCCATGGTTTAACTGAAAATAGAAATTTATTACCTAAAATCTAAAAGTTACCATGTGTTATCTGAAACCTAAAAAAATTAAAATTCTTTATCTAAAACTTCAAGATTATCAAAAATTAAAGTCTTAGCTCAAATTTATGACCTAAACTAAAAAAACCCATTTTTTAACTATAAAACAAGTTCAAAACTATTACCTGGGCCATTTTATAGACTTAAATGGCCTAAAACTTTAAAAAACTAGTAAAAACAAATGAAATACATTATTTTCAAGTAGTAAAATACATTTTTAGACCTAAACTTAAAGTTTTTAGACAAAATTCAGATCAAGAACCTAAAATATCAAAAAAAGCAAAAGTTGTCCCAAAAAATCGGCCTTTGAGTCAAGTTTTGCTTTTTACAAGGTTTTTTGCAAATTGGCCAAATTTCATAAGGTAAAATACGACAATAAGAGTTTATCGATTAATTTATCGAATAGAACATATGCCGATCAACAGAATTATATACTGAATCAGTTCATATATTGACTTACCTGAATATGCGCAACAATACAAAAGTGAGGCGTTCGACCGATGAAATGGGACCGACCGCTTCGGTTCGACGACCAAAAGACGACAAAGCGTGTAAAAATGTATGGAGTAATGTAAGTTTGGTTTTTTTTATGTGAAATTCCTTTTTTGGGTCAGGAATTTTGCATTTTTAGATATTTAAATGTTCTAGTAGTTGACGTTGCTTTATAGGTCATATCATGTGTTATATTGTTTATTAAAAGCAAATTTTTATTGGCTTACCTTCTCGAATGTATTATGAAGGTTTTTGTTAAAAACAACTTAAATTTAACTTTTAGTCGATTTAAAAATGGCATTTCAAAAAATTCGTCAAAAACCTTGGTAGTTGACGATGTTTTTTGATGAATAACAAGTCATATCTTCATCATAAAAGACAAAACCATAATGATATAGCTTCTTCAATGTCTTATGCAGGATTCTGTTTAAAAGAATTCTGAATATTGCTCTTTAGTCCACTTAAAAATGGAAAGGAACGAAATTTTGTTGACACTTAAAATTATTTTGTTAAAGTTTTACAGAAAAAACAAAAAAATTACATTGAAATAGGTTATTTTAACAAAAATAAAAGTCCAAACATATTTTATTATTATTTTTGTCCATCTAGATTGGTTTATTTTTTATATAAAAACAAAAATACTTGGCGTGCGGGCAAAGGGCATTGAACTAGGGGTGAGAAACGGCCGGGCTTGAAAATTGGGCCCGGGCCCGAAAAAAAAATTTTAAATTTTTAAAAATTTTTTATTTTAATCCCCGTTGATGTTTTTTGATTTTATTGGGTACCATGATACATAAATGATCTAAAAGAACAATGCAAAGCCAAATTTCCGTTTATTTTTTAAGTTCTAAAATTTCTAAATTTTTTTTAAAACGGGCCGGGCCGGGTCTAGAAATTTTCTGACCGGGCCGGGCCTAAACGTTGGGCCCCGGGCCTGGGCCGGGCCTTAAAAGTGGGCCCGGCCCTTTTCTCACCCCTACATTGAACTTGCGAACCTAGGACTGTACGCGCAATTAAAAACCACTGCGCTACCCGCACACGCGCCTTTGAGTTCTTCGTTTTGCCTTTTATTTGAGCAAAAGAGAGTGAGAGAGAGTGAAAAAACAAGCAGAGTGATTGATATTGTTATTGTGCCCGAACCCCAAAACTGCAGGGTGCAAAAGCGGTACTTCCCAAACTATATCTTGATAATTTTTGCGTTGGTTTTTGATGAATAACAAGTCATATCTTCGTCATACATTGCAAAACCATTATGATATATCTTCTCCAAAGTTTTATGAACAATACTATCAAAACCAACTTCCATTTTTCACTTTCAAAATACAAAAAAAAATCCAAAAACCTTCAAAAATTGTTAAAACTGAACTATTATTAATAATGATTTATTCAATTAGATAATAATTATCCGTTACATGTGTATGAAAATGGAAATTTTCTCGGTCTCGGAGTGACAAACAAATTGTTCATAAGAAAAATTCCTTTAGGCGAAGAGAAATGGATTTGAAATTTGACTATTCTAAGCTTTTTGTGTGTTTTCTCGATTTGAAAGTGAAGATCCCGTTAGACAATAATTACAAAAATGATTTACAAGCAATGGATTGGTTGGATTGGGTCGACTTTGGGTTTATATGAAGTGTTAGAGTGTGGAGCAACTTTTTGCAGGTATAGTGATTTCAAAAAACTTAAAAATTTTGAAAAATTGAAATTTTTAGGACTCAACCAGCCAAAATGACCAAAAGAATCGCTGTTTACTGGCCTAAAAACCGCAATAACTTTGTTTCCAGCCAAAAATTTTAAACCGTTTGTATTAAAAATCATCAAGCACAATCTAACACATCTTCTCCATCCATTCCAAAACCAACAAATCCCATAAATACAAACTATAACAACTAGATATTAACAATAAGATCAGAGTAATAAATAATGTTTTTACAATCATTTCGACTCGTCGGTCGATTTCTGGCTCGGCAACTGGGTCGATGATGACGAAGCCGATGAGGCGGCGCGGAACAGGCGCTGGACTAGGCGTGATGGCGAGAGCTTTCGCGTTGGTACGGGCGGTCTGAAAATTTATGGGTTAAGAAGGGGGTTCAGGGTTATGGGTAATGTGGTTCCGGCTGGTTTTTTGAATTTTTTTTAAATTTCAAATTGAAAAAGTGAGTTAAATTCTGATGTAATTTTAAGCCTCAGGCTAAAAAAGATTTCTTTTCATAGCTTTTCCCTACCACAAAATAATTTCTTGCTTATCACAACATAATTTGATATCCCCTGACCCGATAGCTCTCTAAATCTTCTCAAACGTGATCTCAAAACAATCTCCAAGACCTTCTCTTACCGTTTGATGCTTTCCCGTTTCGGCCGTTCCTCCACATTTTCCGTCTTTGAGGCTTTTTTCTCGTCGGTGCTGGCCGTTGGTTGGCTGATCGTGCTCATCGTGGACACTTTTCGTGGCTCTGCGACCGGAACACTTGACTTTCGCAGATCCGTGGGTCTTGGCCGGGGCTGTTCGTCCGGATTCTGTGAGTTTGAGCTTGGTTTTCGTTCGATTAGAGTCGATGGCCTTCGGATTGTCGACGGTTTCGGCGATATTGAGGTTGAGGGCTCTGTGGTCAAGGGGCTGGTGATGGTGGGTGGTGGTGCTGGAGATGGAGTGGATGGCATTGAGGGCTGGAAAAGATGTTACTTTATTAGGTTGTCGTTAAATTTTTTTAATTTTAATAGAAATTTGCATAAAAGCTTAATTTTTTCAAAAAATATATAGGTACGGTAAAAGTACTGTAACTTCGACAATTTTTAAAATTTCAAAAAATAATTTTTTCTGCAGTTGACCACTACTATGGTCCGTTATGGCACAAAATTGCAAGTTTATATCTATTTTGAAAAACTAGTTATGATTAAAACTATATTGTTCATGATCTTTGACCGTTTTAGTTAAAAAATCGGTCGAAAAGTTAATAAATGCACTTTTAAATACAAAATTCATCTTCCATTGGCTTCTCCATAGACTTTTTGACCATATATATTCATATACAAGTTATTCTTCCCCATTTCCCCATCAAAACCTCAATTTATATCCACCATGCTTACCACAGTGCTTAATGGCTCCTGAATCGTTCGTGCCTTGATCATTCCTGGCCGCGGACCTTGCAGATGTGGTGGTAATGGTACGGTTGTGCTGCCGTGAGGCTCTCTGATATCGATACTACCTGTGGTGTGTTTCCGTCTCGTGGATTCTGAAGTCGAAGGAGCGCCTTGAGGGTGAAGAAGTTGGTGGCCTGAGGATCGTCGATGTTGGGATTGGGGCTTGAGATGGGGGACGTTGACGGTTGTTTCCTGTTCTTCTAGGCGTTTTTCGTTGAGAAGGTGGGACATTGGAGCTGGGCTGAGGCTTAGGGCCACGCCGTCTTGACTTGAGGCGGATCTTGGCATGAACGATTGCTTTTGGGTGGATGCGCCTGGGACGATTTCGCCGTTTCCTCGTTTGCCACTGAGTCTTCTGAAAGAAAATAGGTATAGAAATGATGTTTTTGAACGGATTTTAAAAATTTTAATTTTGCTTTTTTTTTCAAACTTCTAAAAATTATATTATCCATGACAAAACCCCTCTTACCTGAACAAAGCCGACGTCTTTCTGGTCTTCTTTTCCAATGGTACCCTTCTCTGTGGTCTTCTGGGCTTCTTCCTCAACAATTTTCCCACACTTCGTCTGGCTTCGCCTTCTTTGATCGAGGTTGAGTTCAGCGGTACCACATGGAGCGTGATCTCTGGTGCTCCGGACAAAAGTCTATGCATAAGCTGAGGGTGAGTCATGTTATGGACTGGTTGAGTGTGAACATGAGTTATTAGGTCATTTTCTTTTAGGCCGGCTTCATCGGCCGGTGATCCCTCTCTGACGGCGGCTACAATATGCTCGATCGTGTAGTAGTCGGAATCAGCACTGAGGTATACTCGGACTGATCGAATTGTGAAGCCGAAGCCCTTGGCGCCTTTTCTTATCACTACCGGTTTGCCCACGATTTGGCCGGATTGGTAGGGAGGTGGGTTTTGGGCCGAGGTGGAGGGTGTGGTAGAAAATTTGTCGTTTGTGTTGTATCGGTCGGTGGTGGGTTGAGTTGAGGTTGATGGTCGGTCTGATACACCGGAGAAGCTGGCTCGGTCAGGTAGGATTGGTCGGTCCAGAGCGGTTTTTTCTAGTCCTCCTCGGTCTGGGATGTTTGATAATCCACCCCTATCCATAGCGTTAATCGTGCCGGAACGTCCAGCCAGTCTTGGAGGCTGTGGTGAGTTTGGCTCGAAACTGCTCAAACTGGACTGGCTTTGTCGGTCTGGACTAGCGTGAGGTGGTGCGGCATGGTAGAAGATCGAGGTTTGGCTAGCCGATTTTTCGTGGCCTAGCGAGTGGCTTGAGCCTGGGATCACGACCTTCAAACTTTCGGTTCGCTTCGTCGTTGGACTAGAAGTCGTGGTCTTGGATCGTTCTCTTGGCTCTGGCTCCGCACTCAACGTGGCACGACGATGTTGTGGTTGTGGTAGATGGCTTGAGGATGATGACATTTGGTCGCACGATGAGATTGCGAATCTTGGCAATGGTGAGAAGTTGGTGGTTTGTCTTCTCGATGCCAGATGACCATGATTCTCGAAAAACGAAGCGTCCATCGATGAATCCGTCGATGAACAAGTGTTCAGAGGTCCAGTACCAGTCGTACCGGAACTACTCGTACTGTGGTTGTTTTGTCGTGCTGCCGAGAAGCGTTGTCGCAGTAAAATGGCACTGGGGCTTGATGGATCGTCCCAGCGGCACGAGTTCGGTGTTTGGGCGGCGGTTGAGGTTGTTGAGTTGGTGTTGGCCAAGTCTCCCGAATCTCTTTGGCCTGAGGCGCAAGAGTCGACGGTACGTTGGCTGAGAGTTTTTTCGACCGGTCGTCTTTCTGTTGGGTACTTTTGAGTTGATTTTTGATCATTTTGGGGTTGTTTTTGGTCATTTTGTGCTGTTTTTTCGTCTTTATGGGGCAGTTTGTCTTCTTTATGGGATACTTTTTCATCTTTATGACCTTCTCTTTCATGTTTTTCTTCATACTTTTCATCTTTATGGTGGTGTTTACTTTCTTTATCACCTTTCCCATGATTTTTATCATCTTTTACTTGTTCCCTTAGGGTAACTTTCTCAAATGAATCCATCGTTCTTCTTCCTTTGACTATTGTTTCTCCGGATTTTTCGCTTTTTTCGGTTGAACTACCTCTATACTCATCATCATTGCCTTCTTCTCTTCCTCTTCCCTCATATCCATCGCTCTTTCCCCTCTCTTCCGCCTCTTCATTCGCCTTCTCTCTCATCATCTCCAGGTCCATACTATTCGGAGCATGCAAAGTCGGACTAGCCGCCGCGTTGAGTTGAGCCAACTGGGCCATACTGATGTCCATGGCTGTGATTGAATGCCTGGGGCTGGCGGTGCTGAAGCTCCAGAACATGGGCACGGTCTCGTCGTCGCCGGATTCCGCATCGTGGTTGTAGCGGTCGGTTCTTGAGTCGAAGTAGCTGGTGTCTTCCTCGTTTTCTAGGTTAGGTACGAACTCAGCTTTTTGTCTCAATAGGCTGTTGAAGTCGAGAGCTTGGAAGAAGGGATGGCTGGCGACGTCTGGAGCACCGCCTACCGTGCCCAGCCTGTCTACTGGGTTCTTTTCCAACAGCGTTTGGATCAGATTTTCAGCATTTGGTTCTAGCGCATCTTCACCATCCGGGTACTCCACTTCTTCGTTGATAATGTTGGTAAAGAGTTCTTCTGGAGATCCGCCCAGGAAGGGTACTATACCTACTAGGAATTCGTAGAGAATGATGCCTAAAGCCCACCAATCCACGGGTTTTCCGTAGCCTTGTCGTAGAATCACTTCTGGTGCAATGTATTCGGGAGTACCACACAGCTGGTTGTCTCGGAACTGTTGGGTATCATCCAAGAAGCCCTCTGATACCAGGGTAGTTCGGTTCATTAAGCCGATTTTGGATAATCCGAAGTCAGTCAGCTTGATATGGCCAATGGACGTGATCAGCAAGTTGTCTGGCTTCAGATCTCTGTGTACGATGCCGCATGAATGTAGATACTCGATGGCTAGTACGGTTTCGGCTACGTAGAGTCTTGCCACTTCGATTGGTAGTACCCCAGCACTCTTCAGCAAGCTGGCACAGTCTCCTCCTTCGACGTACTCCATCAGCATGCACAAATGCTGCTTGGTTTCGAATGATCCGTAAAATGAGACGACGAACGGGTTGTCGGTGAAGGTTAATATATCTCTTTCGGCATAAACTTGGTCGACTTGATTCCTCAACAACAAGGTCTGCTTCTTCATCTTCTTCAACGCGAACCTCTGCCTTGTTCTGTAGTGTCGTACCAGATAAACTGCACCATAAGCACCATTTGAGATCAAGCGAATCGATTCGAAATCATCTTCTTTCGGAGCATTCGCTGTCAAAGCCCTCAGCTGATCCTCGGTGATGGCCTGTGATGACTTTCGTGGCACAATCTCGGATTGTTGTAGGTCACCAAGCGTGTTCGACAACTCGGATGGATAGGGTATGTCATTGGGGTCGAGATCAGGCGGTGAGGAGCGATCTTGCATCAGGTTCTTGTTCAGCCCGAGCTTGTCGATGATATATTGTGGTAGGTCTGGGACACGAGCATTGCCGGCGCCGAGTTGGTAGCGAAGCGCGCCTTCGGTTTCTTCTAGGAGTCTGAAAATGACGTTTTGAATATGATAATAAATTTTTATGGTTTGAAAAAAATATATATTTTTCCAAAAAAATCCACAGGGGGGACCAAGTTGCATATTTTTCAAAAAAAAACTTTTTTTTGGGAAGAACACCCCTCCCTCGTAAAAATACTGATCTGTATGTCACAGCCACTATGTTTTTATACAAAAAATACTATCCAAACTAAGAAAAATTTATTTTTCAAAAAAATTTTACCCTCCCTTAACCTAATAAGGAATACTGATAACTAAACTATATCATAGCCAATAAAATTTTAGCCTCCAATGACCATTAAACTTTCAAAAATTTAAAAAAACCCTCTTCTTACCGATAAAACTCATCCGGATCGAACTCCAAGCTCTCTAACAATCTGGCCGCTCTGGACACGATCATCAGAAGCTGTTTACATATCCCGGCCAAGAACTTGAAGCTCTCCGTACTAGTCTTCTGATTCGCTTCGGCCAAACTCTCCTCGAGGCGAATCGACATTTGACAGAAGTAACTTGAGGTCAGTTGGTCGTCTCTCGACTTCTGAAGGCAATCGGCCGCGATCTCGCAGACTTGATGATGAATAAACCGTGTCGCGCCTTCAGCTAGCACCCGGAGTAATGTTGGATTGGTGATTGGGGCGTCGCATTGTGCCATTGTTGATCTTCTTGATGTTGAGTTAGTGGTGTTAGTGGTTTGGCTGTCATTTGGGCCCAGGTTCAGTGATCCCATATTGCTGGCTAGCGAGCCGAACTGACTTGAGTGATGCTGGCCTAGCGATCCGTGTGGGCTTGACATTGGGCCTTGTGATTGGACTAGTGTGCTGATTGGGCTGTTTTGGGCAAAACTTGGCCCTAGCTGGGAGAGACCTGACCCAGGCTGAGAGAAACTTGGCCCAGGCTGAGCAAAACTTGGCCCGGCTTGAACAGGTGATCCAAACTGGCCTGATTGGAAACTGTTTTGACTGTTCTGTTGAGTCAACGTGCCTGGGAAGTAGTAGGCGCTGCTACTGTTCCCGTACGGTGTGGTACACTGTAGATTCTGGCTACTGTGCCCTGACGTCGATCTGAACACAACTTTTCCATCCTGGGCCGCCGTAGCATCGGCCATTGCTAGTGGACTAATTGGGCGTGGAATTGGTGAGGATGGTCTGCAAGGACTCGATGGCCTATGATAAGATGGTTGACGTGCCAAAGAGGCTCGATGTTGGTGTTGACCAGATGGATCGGTCAAGTGAAGTGGACTAGTTGGTCGGTCGAACGAGATTGGCGATGTAAATCCACTTAATGGGGCATTTATGTGTAGAAACTGTTGAAGTTTGGCTTCCATCTGAGCTTTAGCTTTAGGGAATCGCTCCTTGTACACCTGAGACAAGGCGTTTGGATTCGGGTCGAAAGCTCCGGATTCTGAACCAAAACGAACTGGACTGGAAAGACTTCTGGAGCGAGGTCGCATGCCGATCAGAAGCTGGGATTCCTCCATTGATGGGTATGAATCGTTGCTATCGTAACGATTCTGAAGTTTTGGGTCGCCCATGAGTTGGGGAAGCTGTTCTTGAGATGAATATTCACTCTGAAAATGGATATAGTTAAGAAAATAGGCCGTTTGTTACGTAAAATAATTAAAAATTGGCATTTTGTTACCTAAAACATCATAAAATAGGCACTTTGTTGCCTAAAATAAACCCAACTTCATTCATGTCAAGACCTAAAAATCCAAAAGAACACTAAATAAACCCTTACCGACAAAGCCGATATGCTACCAGGCGTCCCATAACCACTTGAGCTTGGTAACGAAGCCAAACTCCACCGTCGATTATCACCATGATGTAGTAGGTAAGGAGCAGCCAAACTTGATCCACTCCTCGGTTTTCCTCCATGATTCCCACTTCCACTGCCTTCTGCGGACGTTACTGGTGCTAGTGGTCGTCGTCGCCTTCGAATAGACGGCAGTTTTGGCAATCCAACAGTTGAGGAAGGATTGGAAGTTGATTGGAAGCCCGAAGTCGGTTCTTCAGATAAAGAAGCGTCTACATTGTGAGCTGATAAGATTGAAGCACGATGTGATCGGTTGTGTTCCACAAAGGCTGAGGCTTTCTGAAAATGATGGCTTAGATTGATATTTGGTAAAGCTTGCGTTTGTTACCTAAAACTTTTAAAGAAATCTGTTTTACCAACTAAACTAACATCCCTTCGTTACCTAAAAACCAACAAAACTATCAAGAAAACTTACTCTAAACCGCACAGCCGAAGCCGGACTCAAGTGAAGCGCCGAAGAACGTCCGCCGGACACGGAACGTCGACCCGAATTTTGACTATACGTGTATAGTTGCGGATCCGAATGCCCGAGCTGATTCCGAATCCGGTGCATGTTTGAGGCGGAGTGCCCGAAACCACCAGCCAACGGGGCCGTTGGGCCAAAATCGTACTGGTTCGGTGGGTGTAGGAAGTCTGAAAGTAGATAAACGTTAATAAAAAAACTTTAAAAATCATTAAGAATGTATAAAAAGTCAAAAACTTTACTAAAAGTCCGCAGAATCGACCAAGAAGACTAAAAGCCAATATTGTGAAAGGTGCAGATACCTTTAATGAATAATATGCCAATTTAAATAACAAAGAAAACGCTAATATTCTTACGCAAAAGATTCCCCATCATCTTAGCATCAAAAAGAGCCTAAGACCAAACCCACAATTCCCAAAAGCACATGGTTTCGAGCGCAAAAACTAAAGCAATATCCATTTCTTCCAAAAATAGCCAAAATCTCATAAAATCCTTCGAAATTTTTTACCAAATCCGAAAAGATCTGCCCATAATGAATATAAAAAATTAAAAACACTGTGAGCAAGACAAGCTTAATGTTCTCGAGCATAAATAATTGCCTTTTACGATTTCCAATAATTCCCGAATATAAATTAGAGTGGACACTTCGTCCACATAATTATCGAAAAATTTGTGGCACTTCGTTAACTTTATATTTTGCCGAGGTTTTTGGACGAATTTCAAAGAAAAGCCTTATGAATGGGATAGTCAAGAGGTTTATGGATGTGATAAGTCGTAAGATTTGTTGAAAAGAGTGTTATGAACGTCAAGAATGGAGGCATAAAGCTTTTAACTACAATAATTTCGATTTTGAGAGTGTTTTCAGCGAATTAAAGGTAAATAACTTTGTTTTTAGTTAGTTTAAACTTTCAAAATCAACTTTTTAATAAGCCTAAGTGTTAAGTTATTGTTTTTCCACTTATTTTGCTTCCAAATTTCAGTCAAATAATCTCAAAACATCTTCAGGAAGTTCAAATTACAAGTGCAATATCAGTCCCAAGGATAATATTTTAAATTCCTAAAACCCGATCTGATCCCAATGCTTTATATATAAGCGGAAGGCAACTGTTAAGGGCTTTGACATGTTCTAAAAATAACCACGAACTAAAAACAATCAAAGAATTTGGAGAATATTTGGGATTCCGGAAAGAGTGATGTTGATAACAACAAACTTTTTTGAAATTCGTTAGACAAATACATAATTTATCGATTTGAAATCACTGTCTATGGAAGCTTGAGTAATATTTTGAGATTTTAGGGCTGGTTTTTAAAGATTAAGAGATAAAGTTTCATTTTATGGCAAAAAATTGAGCGAGAGGGTCAAATGGGTCTGATGCCAAGTGTAATATCGGTCATAACTTAAGTTTGGTTAATTATTATAAAAATATATTTTAGGGAGTTAAAACGAAGGTTATTGTACATCTTTTTTACTTTAAAGGCAATAGTAATTCGGCCAACTAAAAAAGGTTTGACCTAAAACACTTGACCACCCGTATACCTCAAAGTGCCTACTATAATATGCCTCATAAGTTAAAATTCCTCAAATTTTTTTTGAAAACAAGGTAAAATACGTCCAGGTGGGTCCAGTCTAAAACCGAAGCGACAAAAATTGCGGAAGTTATAGCAGTTTCGGGACCTAACATTATGCATGTATAAAGTGGATTGACATAAAACTCGTCAATCAAACTCACGCTTCTTGAAAAACGGCTTGAAGGCCAAAGATAAAAACCGAGAGGGGGATGTTTGATCATATAGAGATGTATTTGACATGTAATTGATAAGTATATTTTATATATTTGGGAATTTAGGGGGTGGTTTTTGACCTTATTGGGGTAGAGGGTTTGGAGGTCAAAATGTCTACAGTTTTTAAGATTTTTGGTAGTTTTTTGATGTGAAATGGACCGTAGTACATTGGAAAGTATGTAAGAAACCTAAAAAGTTTTGTTTTTGAGCTTATATTTGAATTATAACATTAAAACTACTAAACTTGCCTAGTGTAATATGGAGCTTAATGTAATAAAATCAGCTCTAAAACCATTAGTATGTCCAAATACCCACTCGAAACGTAATAAAGGCCGCCCAATATCGAATATGCTTGAAAACGGTCACAAATTATGCATTGCGCGGCGGTCATATTATCTATCTTATTCATCTAATGACCTAAGGAAGCCAGAAAAAATTACAACGTTGATGTGATAGCGATCGTTTTACAGTTTAGTGAGATGGCAGGGTAAACAAATTTTTGTAATTTTGGGAGTGGGGTAGGTAGGGTGAAGGTAGGACTGAGTACAATATGTTAGGGTAAGGTGGAGTAGGGTAGGGTACTGTAGGGTAGGGTAAAGTAGGGTAGGACAAGACAAGGGAAGCAAAGGAAAGTTTCTGTAAAGGCGTAAAATGACATTTTTTTCAATTTTAAAATGTCATGCCTACCCCTATGACCTCAAGACTACCATAATATAATAATTAACCTGAGCTAATAGGGGTAGTAAACCCCAACTAAACCCAAAACCAGCCAAAACAAGTGATTACCCTCCTCCAATATTTCTATATTTTGGGTTGTTTTTACAGCAAATGAACGTAAAGTAATACAAAATAATGACTGTACAACCAAAATTCGTCGCTCTCATTATTTTTGGGTAAAAAACTGATTCTAAAAAGCGTTTTTTCCGAGCGGGACACTTTTTTCATGCGCTAGATTGGAGAGGAGTGTTCAAATATGGGTGAAAAGTATGTATTAGAGGATGCACTTGAATATTAGAAATGACATGAATTTCAAGAAATATTTAAAAAAGTTAGTTGTTGTTTCAAAAAATTTGGAAAAAATCAACAGGGGGACCAAGTTCAAAATTAAATCAACTTTTTAATAAGCCTAAGTGTTAAGTTATTGTTTTTCCACTTATTTTGCTTCCAAATTTCAGTCAAATAATCTCAAAACATCTTCAGGAAGTTCAAATTACAAGTGCAATATCAGTCCCAAGGATAATATTTTAAATTCCTAAAACCCGATCTGATCTCCTGTTTTTACAGCAAATGAACGTAAACCAAGTTCAAAATTTTTTGAAAAAATTTTTAAAAAATTTAAAAATGTACTAGATAGGGTTAACTAAGACAGGGTGGGATAAATTTTTACTATATAAAAAACTTTTTGAAAATTTTTTTAAATTGTAAAATTTCAACAGGGGGGAGGGACCAAGCTCAATTTTTTTGAAAAAAAATTTAAAAAAAGTTTTTAAAAAATAAAAAATGTACTAGCCAATGTTAAGTAGGGCACGGTAGGGTAAAATTTTGCTCAAGTAAATTTTTTTCAAAAAAAAATTTTTGAAAAAATGAAAAAATTTCAACAGGGGGGACCAAGTTCAATATTTTTGAAAAATAAAAGTTAAAACAAGTTGAAGACAAAGTAATTTAGATCTAAATTATAGTGAAAGGCACTAAATTTTATCCTTAAAACTCAAAGCATTTTTTACTTAAATTAAAGCCCAAGACTTTTTGACCCAAATGATAGCACGAAACTTTTAACTTATGCCTAAATTAAAGTCCAAAACTTTCTTTGACTTAAATTAAAGACCAAAGCTTTTTTGACCTAAATTAAGGCTCAGAAACTTTTTTCATTTCCTACTCAAATTAAAACTCTACCCGTTTCCCTTAATCTCCCCCTAAAATAAGGTTTTCTAACCCAAAGCCCAAAACCCTTTCCCTCCCAATGCCTTTGCCCGTGGGACCCCCGCGGGTGCTTCGAAATGACCGGAGTCAAGTTCGAAACCAGTGTTTTGGCTTTTTTTCATGAGAAAAGGAAGTAAGTGACCGAACGAGAATAAAGAGCCTACAAAGCTCGACCCAATTTGAAAGGTTTACTTAAAGTTTTGTTGAGGTGTTGTTCATGTTGTAGTGAATAGACAGTATATTGGATTGGGATTGGAAATAAAAAACATTTTAAAAAAGGTAAATTTGAGTTCAAAGCTTTAAGTAATAACAATATTAAATGCCGTCATAAAGAACCCGCCGTATTTTGCCTGTAATTTATTGTAAACAATGGCGGGTTCTTTATGTCGGCACCTAATATGTTGGGGTAGAACAATAGCATGGCTTTAGCAAGGGTAGAGTAAGAAAGTAGGAGTAAAGTTTGGTAGGTCGGATAGGGTAGGATACAATAGGCTAAGGGTAAGGTTGAGTAGGATAGGGTAGAGTACAACACTTCAAAGTTAGAGCAGGGCAGGCAATATTCAAGTGCCTAGGGTTGATATTGGGTTAGGGTAGGATCATGGTGTGGCTTTAGTAATGGTAGAGAGAAACAAGCTAGAGTAAAGTAGGATAGCTTAGTCTAGGGTAGTTAGGGCAAGGGTAGGGTAAGATAAGATAAGATAAGACAGAGTAGGGTAAGGTATGTTGGGTAGGCTTCAAATCAGTTTTTAATATAAGAAAATAAAAGTAAAGTTTACTGAACATGGACTTTCAAGAACATAAAATGAACTTCCTTCCTTATAAGCTTTAAGAAAGTTACCTAAACAAGGCTAATTTAGGATAAAAGGCACGACAAACGCTAAAGTAGGGCAAGAATAAGGTCTTGAATTGGGGTTAGCGCCAAGGTTTAGGGCAGAGTGGAGACAAAGACTAGGACTAGGGCTAATGATACGCTACTTTAGGCTAGGGCTAAGGCTAGAGCTAAAGCTTTAACTTCTCAGGTTAAAGCTAGAGCTCAGGCTAAAGCTAGAGCTAAGGCTAAGGAGAGATAAAGCTAGGGCTAGACCTTCCAATTAAAAAAAAACAGTCAAAAATTTGAAAATCAGAAAAGAAGTCCAGTGTAATATTACCGCCGCACTAATATTACACTTCCCTTTATTATTGAACCATTTTATCACAAATTTTCACAAATCAATCCCTTTTTCATTAGAAGGCAATTAAATTGTAAAAATGACTGTAAGAGGTAGTTCAGTGATCTTTGCCCAAGGCTTTTAAACGATTTTGAAGGTTTTACAATGACAAATATCAGTGTTTACTTCTATTAATTAGACAAGATTAATAGGTATGAGCAATATCTTTTTAGTTTATGATGGGTGGGGTAGTCTGGACTAGGGAAAGAGATAGGTATAGGCCTAGCACTTGGGTTAAAACTAGGCCTAGGGCGTTGGCTATGACAAGTCCAAGGAAAAGACTAAAACAAAATAGTCTGGACTATGGCAGAGGCTAGAGCTAGGCTAGGGCTAAAGCTAAGGCTAAAGTTAGGGATAGGGCTTAAAACTAGGACTAGGGCTCTTAGCCAGGGTTAGAACTAGGGTTAGGGCTATGGTTAGAGCTAGGGCTAGGGCCAAAACTAGCGCTGGGACTTCAATAAGACTAGATTAGACTAATTTAGACCAAGGCAAGGATTAGATCTAGGGCTATGGCAGGGCTAGGACCCTGCCTTGCCCTACTAGCATTACCTTGTCCTACCCCTCGTTATAACCATCTCTAAATCTACCCAGTCGTATGCTAGCTTTGAGGCTAAGGCTAGGGTCAAGGCTAAGGATAAGTATAAAGATAAGGCTACTATTAAGACTAGAACCAAGCCTAAGGCTCTTTCTTCAATTTTAATAGCCTTTCCATGCAATTTCCGCCCGTCTACTTAACTCAAAATTAGGCAATCTACCCTCATTTCCTCCCCATTACTTCCATTTTTCCCAATTAAAACGTCGTCATTTCGTTTTACAGCTTTTTGTTATTACTATTAGCCGTAACTGTTATGATAACACTAATTTTCATTTAAAAGTAAAGAAGGCGGAAGTGATTCATATAAGGAAAGACAAATTAACACAAGGAGAACATAGTCACCAGCTTTGTAATGTAATAAGATGTTTTGAAGACAGTAGTAGTCATCGTTCTTCACATTGAGTAATAGTGTAGTAGTAAAAATTTTTTTTATTCTAGATCTCCACCTCTCTAGCTTTAGCTTATAGCCATGAGCCTGAGCATGAGAGTGAGGATGAGGGTGAGGATGAGGATGAGCATGGGCATGAGCATGAGCTTGTGCCTGATCTTGACTCTGAGCCTGAGGTTCAGATTAAGCCAGAGCCCGAGCATGGGCATGGGCATGGGCATGGGCATGGGCATGGGCATGGGCATGGGCATGGGCATGGGCATGGGCATGGGCATGGGCATGGGCATGGGCATGGGCATGGGCATGGGCATGGGCATGGGCATGGGCATGGGCATGGGCATGGGCATGGGCATGGGCATGGGCATGGGCATGGGCATGGGCATGGGCATGGGCATGGGCATGGGCATGAGGTTGAGCCTGAGCTTAAGCCTAACTCTAAGATTAAGTCTTAGCTTAAGTCTAACCATAATTCTAAGTTTAAACCTAGCCTTACCCGCTACCTTGCTCCACAAAAGCCAGATCTTAAACCAACCCTACTCCACCAATAATTTACCTCAACATACAGCTCTTGTTCTAGCCCTACAAAAGCTAAAAAACTAACCTAGAATCTCCCGCCCAATTCTAGTAGACTCTTATATCAATAACCACCCCCACAACACCTTCTGACCCTGTTTTTGAAAACGTCATTTTCGTCGGTAAAAACTTTCTTTTTTAAAGAGAAATTCCACAAATAAACCGGCGGCAATAACACCGAATCCGGGATGCGGCTCAATTTGTAATGCGAAGATTTATAATGTGGATCGTTTTTCGCTTTTCATAATAACAAAAACGACACAACAATACGTCGTTCAAGTTGTTGTAGTTCATTTTGGGTTAGGTTATTGGTGTGGAAGTTGAGCTGGGTTCGATTATTGGTGGAGGAGGGTTGGGTTAAGTTGGGTTAGGTTAACAGGAAAGGGGTTGGGTTGAAAAGTGGGTTTTGTGGCGTAAAGTTATGGGTATAAGTAGGGGGAAGGCTATGGCAAATTCTAAGGTCAATACCATGGCTATGGCCAATACTAACAATTGTAAGGAAGGCTAATACTATGGCTAGAGCTCTGAGCAAGGGCTAGGGCTGGACAAAGCTAAGTTAAAACTGAAGATAAAAGCCAAAAAAGAACAAGTTTAAGGTCAATAAGGTCGCTTAAAATCGCACTGTCAAAGTGAAAAAAACGGGGAAAATTCGAGAAAAACAGTAGGGTATGAGTAATGTAATTTAATTAAAAGTTTAGGGGTTCAAAATGAGATTGACTACCCTACCCTACCCTACCCTACTCTATCCTTGTAACTATGTTTAGGTCTTCCTGAGCCCTATTCTTCCCTACTCTACACTTTAATTAATAAAACGATCGCTAGGTCTACCCTACCCTAACCTACCTTAACAAAACACAACCCTCTCTTTCCCAAAAAGAAAACACCCTTATCAGGCTCTATCTTACTCAAGCCTAACGTCTCCTAAAGCTACTCTATCCTACATATCTAACCCTACTCTCCACTACCCTACTGTACCCTTAACCTATCACATCATACCTTACTCTCCCAATAAAGAAAATAAAAAAAAATCGTACTGCTTATATTAAAAATTTTAAAAAACAGCCCACGGCAACCCGGAAAAACAGCCGCCTCAGCGTTCCAAAGCACGTGGTCATCGTTTCTTCGAATGAAAAAATAAAAATTTTGGAGCGAAACGGGGGGAAAATGAGTAAAAATCACATAAAAAGCCCTCCGGAAACGATTGTAAAATTCGAAACAAAGAAAACCCAAAAAATTCGCAATCAGTTTTTAAAATATTTTGTTGTTAACAAAGTTACAAGTTGTAATTTGAAGAGACAGCTTTACGGTTTTTGGTAGGGGGTCTTGCCTCTAACTTTTTGTAAAGGCCTGAAAATATTTGAAGGGAGGGTGAGGGGGGGTACAAAAGAACAAAGTAAGGCTAGAAGGGGGATAAAATTTTAGACAAAAATTTAAAAAAGAAGGTGCTATAATTAACGTTTTGCCATTATAAAGTATTTTTTTGACAATTTAAGGTGCTTGGAACACAATGCCAAGAAAATTTAATTTTGGCGGGAAATCAAAAATTTAAATTTTTATTCAATTTTAGGTACTTTTAGCGCAAAAAACAACTTTTGAGTTTGATTTTAGATTGTATGCAGACTATCTAGCTTTTAAAGCATTTGAAACACAATGCCAAGAAAAAAATATTTTTGGCGGGATATTAAAAATTCAAATTTTATTTATTTTTATGGTTTTTATAGTATTGTAACTAGTACCAATACTTTAAAATAGGCTTAAAAACATGAAAAAAGCTTAACTTTCGTGACAAAAACAGTAAACTTGTACACATTGTTATCATGTCATAAGTTTTGTTATCAGCATATATTTGTTGGAAACGTTTTGCAGTTAAAAATAAACCTGCAACACGTATGCACTTTTACTTTTGGTAAAAATAATAGGGAATCACATGAGGGCGTGGAATTTCAAAAAATTAATTATTAGTTTGTTTACAGCGTGGTAAAAAGAATTATTATGGGTTCTTGCACAGTGTAAAAATAAAATTTATTGTTGTAAGGTAATTTTAAAGACACATGTTATTAAAATTTTGTTAAGATTTATTTTTATTTTTGTTTTGGAATTACATTTTGTGATTTTTAACAGTTTACGTCTTGAAAAGCGTAGTTACGATACAACGTAAATTTGAATTTTGGATTTCCCGCCAAAATTATTTTTTTGGGGCATAATGTTTCAAGTAACAAAAGCATCTCAACTATGCTTGATTAGTTAATTTATATTCAAAAATGCCAAATTCAATTAAAAAAATTCGAATTTTAAATTTTCCGCCAAAAATGTTTTTTCTTGGCATTGTGTTTGAAGCATTAAAAATGGTTTAAATTAACAAAATGCAACTTTAAAATCAGATTTGATTTTCATTTTCAGTAAAATACGTCTGTTGACCATACACGGCAATGAAAAATTTAAAAACGGCAACTCACTGCCACTTTGTTGCGATCCACGAAAAGCCACCGCGTACGAAGAGGGTCGACGATTATTCCGCCGACTCCTGACATCAGTCGCTGTTGATACGGCTAACAAATGTTTGGCATTCATCGAATCTGAATGGGCTTCTGAGCAGGAACGTTGAAGTGAATGTGCCTTTGGATTGAGTCGTTTCAAGCCTAAAGCTGGAGCTGGCGGCGAGGCAAATGGGGCCTAAAAAATGTCATAATTAATGTTGGAGTTAATGAAACCGGAACATTTCATGGATTCAGGGTGATAATAAAATTAAAATTTTAAATTTGATTCTATTTTTTGAAAAGTTTTAAAAATTTCATTAAAATCGACCAAAAACTGAAAAAATAGATCTAGTTACAGAGGTAAATGATGCCACAAAAAATTGTCATAACTAATGTTGAGGTTGATGAAACTAGATGATTTTTTGGATTTAGGTCAATAAAAGAATGAAAATTTTGTGTGTTATTTTAGTTCTTTGTCACTGCAAAAAAATCAACTGAAAATTTAAAAAATTGCCAAAAAAATGAAAATTATGGGGGTGAAGCTTACAAATAGTTACAGTACTCTTCTTGTAATGACTCAGAGATTATGGCTGTTTGAAATTAGATACACAAAACAATGGCAATTTATAAGATCATATTATTTGTTATCTAAATTTTCAAAATTTTTTAAAAAACGACCAAAAAACCCCAACAAATGCCCAAAATTTACGAAAATTTGAGAAATGCCAAAACATAATGGACCAAAAATAAAAAAAACAAAAAATCAAATTACCTGTGCATATCCATGACTTCCGAGACTCAATTTATGTTCATCAACACTCAGTTGTTTTTGTGGGACCGAGGGCGAAGAGCCAGTGCCGCAAACGGAACGCTGAGCACGGAGAGAACGTTGACGGCCGAAGAATCCTGATACACTTCCGGAGTCTAGAAAATTTTTAATTTTATTAAAAATTATTTGTAAAATTTAAAATTTTTTCAAAATTTGAAAAAAAAAGAATTTTAATTTTGGAAAGAAAGTTTCTTCCAAAAATAAAAAAAAATTTTTTCTAATTTTAAGGGTTGCGTGGGGTAAGATAGGGCAGGGTAGAGTGTTTAAAAGCCTAAAAACGGCCAGACCCTTCTGATAAACCCCAAAACCCCCCCCTTAAAATCCAAAAAAACCCGTCATAATGACACGAAAAGCCAGTAGTCTAACTAAAAGTTCAATAAAAAATAAAACCGATCCAAGGAAAAGTTCCTCGTATCACTCCATAAATTAAACCACCTTAAACACATAAACGATTAAAGCAAAAACTTTTGTTGTTTATCCCGAAAAAACCAGCTCCTTGCCCCGAGGGCAAATGGCATTAAAAATAAAAAGCCAACCCTCTTTGTTCGGGTTTAAATGCTTATTATTAAACGGCCGTGACGTCAAATGGCCCAAGGGTTGGTGTTTTTGACTGGGGCAGAGTAAATTTTTAGTGTTTTGGTTTGGGCGGGGTAAATTTAAAAAATTTTAAAATTTCACAATTTTTTTTAAACGTCTAAAAAACGTTAAACAATAAAAATTTTGGGATTTTTAGTGCTTACTGGCTCTTAATAGTACTAAATTAAAGTAAATAAAAAAAAATTCGAAATTTCAAAAAAATTTAAATTTTGAAAAATTTTGAAATTTGTAAAATCTTATCATAAAATGCCCATGCCAGTTCCAAAAAATCCTATTTCCATCCTAAAATCCCCCTGAAACCTCAAAAATTACCACTCCCTTGCCTAAAATTATGTTGTTCAATTAATTCTGAGCCACTTTTTAAAGCAAATTTGCTTGATTGATAGCTCACAATTTTTGAACAACTAAGTACAGTCCTTGCCTAAAATTAAATTGTTCAATTAATTCTGAACCACTTTTTAAACCAAATTTTTTGGATTAGTAGCTCACACTTATTTGAACAAGCAATTACAACCCTTGCCTACAATTAGGTTGTTCAAATAAGTCTGCTCCACTTTTTAAAGCAAATTTGCTTGATTGATAGCTCACGATTTTTGAACAAACAAATACAATATAACTCTAGTGCCTGACCTTCCCCTGCTACCAACCCTTGTTGTCCGAAATTGACTCCAAAACTTTAAAATCGTCTTTTTTTCAAAATAACAATACCATGATAATAGTTTTGTTTTCACAACGCTAATCCAGTAAGTAAATAAATACTTGTTACAATATCCGAATAAAGACTCAAACATCATTTTAAGGGGAAGTTATTGCCTTTTTGAGAAAAGTTACTGCCAGTTTTGAGAAAAGATACTGCTGTTTTAGAGGAAATCTAATTCCATTTTTGAGGAAATATTAAGAGATAGCTATTACTATGTGAAAGTGAGATAGTGTGAAGACATAGAGGTGACTTATGGCTTCTTGTTTTGCTCTTACAATAAAAAATAATCATAATTTTGACCAAAATATTGGGTTTTTGAAAAGAAATCAGCTTGGTCCCCCTGTGGATTTAAAAAAAAAAATTTTTTTTTGAACTTTAATTTTCAGAAAAACAAACATAAAATAAAAAAAATCATTTTGTCTTGTTTTGTGTCATATAAACTATAAAAACAAAAAAAAGTTTTAATTTTAGAAAAATCAGCTTGGTCCCCCTGTGGATTTATTTTGAGAAAATTTCAGCTTGGTCCCTCCTGTGGATCCGTGTATTTTTTTTCAAAAATTTTTTTTCAAAATTAAAAAAAATGGTTTTAAAATAAAATATGCAAAAAGTGAAAAAAGCATTTTGCCCCTGTGGATGCTTTTTTTCAAAAGCAATTGACCCAACTATTATATTTTATGACATTTTATATGCTATACGTATCAAAAATAAGCTTTTATGATAATGAGATATTTTATATACCCCACTTATTTAAAAAATGTCATAATTCACTCACAACTAGCTTAATAATTTAAATTTTTTCAAAAAATATGACAATTCTAATATATCATAGCTAAAACAATGTAATAAAGCCCCTTCAACAATCCAAGTATCCATGGAATTAAGACGAATGATATTGTTTTGCAAAGCTCTCACAATTTTTTAGATGTATATTATATATCTTTTGTTTCCCGAGGTCATTAATTTCAAAAAAAGTCAATGAGATTAGAAGATTTTGGGCTAAAACAATATTGAATAGTAATTTACACGTACATTTTGTGGTTAGCCTGGTCACATATAACAGTATGATGCCTTAGCTCTAACCCTATCTTGGCGTAAGCTTAGGCTTAAAAACATAAGCTTAGAAGCTTAGGCCTAGAAGCTTAGGCTTAGGAACTTAGGCTTAGAAGCTTAGGTTTAGAAGCTTAAGCCCAATAGCTGAAGTTTAATGAATTAGGCTTATATGATTAGGCTTAGCTTAGGCTTAGAAGCTTAGGCTTAGAAGCATAGACTTAGAAAGTTAAGCTTAGAAGCTTAGGCTTAAACATAGGTTTAGAAGTGTAAACGCAGAAGATTCGGCTTAAACTTAGGTTTAGAAGCTGAGGCTTAGAAGCTTAGGTTTAGACGCTGAGGCTTACAAGCTTAGTCACAGAGGCTTAGGTTTAGGCGTAATCTTAAGCTTCGAAGCTTAATCTTGAAGGGTAGGCTTACAATTAGAGGCATAAAGTTTAAAGCTTAAAGTTTTTACTTTAGGCTTAGTGACTTAAATCTGATAGTTTTAGGTATGGGCTTATAAAGAAAGGCTCAGCCTTATAAGTTTATCACAAATATTTTAAAAATAATTTTAAAAAATCAAAGTGTAAGCCTATTCCCTTTACTTTTTAACTAAAAAACACAACAAATACTCAAGACAAACGCTCATAACACACTTCCTTATTCCTGTATGCCCTTCCACCTAAGGAAAAACAACGTTTAAGTAGGCATCATCGCATATGTATACACGTGATATTACTACTTAAAAATAAACATGCTTGAGTCCCGTGTCATGCCTTTTTTAGCACCCACACAGGTTCTCATACTGGCATATAGTACAGAGTACTTTGGGTATGACAACATGTTATTAAGAGATTATGAATTGCGCCCTACCCTTGATCTATTCTTAGTCTACCTTACCCTTTCCTTGCCTTGCCTTTCCCTGCCTTGCCTTGCCTTGCCTTGCCTTGCCTTGCCTTGCCTTGCCTTGCCTTGCCTTGCCTTGCCTTGCCTTGCCTTGCCTTGCCTTGCCTTGCCTTGCCTTGCCTTGCCTTGCCTTGCCTTGCCTTGCCTTGCCTTGCCCAACCCTGGCTTTCTCTTGCCCTACCCACCCTTTGCTTTAACTCCTCGCTCTGTCATACCCTGGCCATACCATGGCTCTGCCCTTGCCATACCGTTGTCTTACTCTCGCCCAACCCTCGTTTTACCCTTGCCTTACCCTTGCTTTAGCCTCGCTTTACTCTTGCCCTACTCTTGCGTTATACTACCCTACCCTACTCTACTCTATTTTACCCTGCCCTATCCTACCCTACCCCAACTTTTTTTCCTTATTATCAGTACCCATAATACTCAAAACATGACGTACTATCTCCTCCGTATGTTTAATGCCCTCAAACATAGTATCTTCTTCGCCGCCATAAGACGCCTCTAAAATAACTCCAAACCCAATTATAGCCTCACCAAAAACAAAAAAGTGTTCGCCAGCCTAATTGAAAATGAAAAGAAATACAAGAGTTACATAGTAAAAGGTCAGTGTGGATTAATTGAATAATATTGTTAGAGATGTATGATACTCGGAATTCATTGCTTAAAGCACATGTACTAAGAAAATTATCTTGTTATGACCCAGCCTAACAAAATTTTTTGGTTAAGCCTAAAAATTACTTTAAGCTTAAAGTATGTTTAATCTAAGCTTTAGCCATGGTCTACTATAGCCAAAACCTGAGCCTACGTTTGAGACAAGGCCAGAGCCCAAGCTTAAACCTAAGCCTAAGCAAAAGCCTAGGCCTAAAACTGAAACTCAAACTGAACTTGAGCTTAAGCCTGAGCTTAACCTTGAGCTTGAGCTTGAGCTTGAGCTTGCGCTTAAGCTTGAGCTTGAGCTTGAGCCTAAGTTTGAGCCTAAGTTTAAACCTGGGCCTGAGCCTGAGCCTAAACCTGAGCCTGAGCCTAAGCTTAAGCCTGAGCCTGAGCCTAAGCCTGAGCCTGAGCCTGAGCCTGAGCCTGAGCCTGAGCCTAAGCTTAAGCCTGAGCCTGAGCCCAGTTTTGCATTTCAATCTTACATGCCTTCTAAAGTTGCAGTAGGCTGAGACATAATCTACAACACCTCGTATAATACACGAGCCGTATTGTTAACGCTGACATATGCTACTACATCCCCAATCTTAAAATAAAGAACAACTTCTTGCAGCCAAGAATAATAGACCCAAATTCCGACTGTCAAAACAACCAATTATCAAATATTCAAACATTTAAAAATTCCGAATTTAGCCGCTAAAATTAGAGCCCACACTTCCGTGTTATCACAACAGACAATGTGTTGGAGTAAACAAAGCAATACCCATACCCTACATTGTTCTAGTCTACCGTATCGTACCGTACCCAACCACAACATATCGTACTCTACCCTACTGCTCTGCTATACCATACTACACCCTACCCTACTATATAATACCATCCCTTACTCTACTACTTTACCATATTATACTCTACCTTACCACGTCATACCGTAAATTGTCCTACTCTTCTATCTTTTTTTATCATAACGTACTCTACCCTGCTGCTCTACCATATCATGGTTTAGACTACCTTATCTTACCTTCTCTACCATCTTATGCTACGATATCATACCTTACCCTACTTTCTCAAATCCTGCCCTACCATATTATACCGTTCCCTACCCTACTGTGTCATATTCTGCACTACCACATCATGCCGTACCCGACTTTACCGTATAATCTCTTACTATACTATCTCATACGGTACCCTACCCTAACGTACTATCCAACAATGCTATATCGCACCCTACTCTACTGCTCTACCATATCATACAGTACCCTAACCTACTTACCAGAAATTTTATACTGCGCTTACTCTACTGTAAAGTAACATTACAACTTTTAAAAGTATTAAAAACAAGTTTTTGTTTTAAAGTTGCTTTTATTCCATAAAAAATACAAAAGTTGCTTAGGTTGCAAAAAATATTTTTAACAAAAAATCTTCTCACATAAAGTAAAAAACCCCACTACTATGTAAAACAATTTTCCAAGCCGTTGCGAGTATTAAGTAGTCTAAATTCATTAATGATTCCTTGTTTTCAGGCCATAAATTCGCCAAATTTCAAGACAAATTGTTTTGTGGCCCAAAATAACCACGCAATTTGTTCGAAAAAAAGAATGCCAATTATTTTCCGATACAAAAAACATAAAGAATTTTAACGCGAAATAGTAGAGGTAAACAAAATTTTGACGAGGTATGCTTGGGGCGTGGTAAAAATTGATTTTATTGTTCAAAAAGGCGAAAATTTACAAATTTTTTTGAAGCTGAAAAGTTTGACGGCATAAAAGTTAATTGAAACTGATTAGTATAATGCCACAAAAAATGTTATATTGTAGCAAAAAGACTGTAGTTTAATACCGATTTACCACTATTTTAAAAAAATTGCAAAAAAGTCTAAAAAAGAATGGCAAAAAGACAAAACCCTATCTTTTTCTAGAGTTGACCAAGTTCAATGTGCCATAACTTAATGGGCCTTTGTCAAAAAAATTTCAAATAGTTTTTAAAATGCGCCTTAAACCATGCCTTTCCATATCAAAAAATAAAATTTTGAAAAATTTTGCATTTTAATACCTAAAAAAATAAATTTCAAAAAACTTTGTCATAAGCCCCAAAACCAATGTCAAAACAACCAAACATCCGCCAAACAACCGTTTAATGGGATCCATTCAAATTTGCATCCGGTTTAAACCGAATTGAAGCAATAACTAGCTGCGTGGCCGACTAACTTTTGGCCGTGGCTTATTTTAGGCATTGTTAAGAAAGAAAAACGAGAAAAGACATTGCAAATTGGAAATTCGTCGTCGTTTCGGAAATAAATTACACGAATCGTGAAAATGAACGCTGGAGGAAAAATTGAAAATTTAAAACGTTAAATTCAGTCATTCTAAGCCTGAGCTTGTGCTTAAGCTTAATCCTAACCCAAAAACTAAGCCTTTGATTAAGAATGAGCCTAAGCCTAAGCTTAAGCTTAAGCGTAAGCTTAAGCGTAAGCCTACAACTGAGTTTAAGCTTGAGCTTGAGCTTGAGTTTGAGCTTGAGCTTGAGCTTGAGCTTGAGCTTGACCTTGAGCTTGAGCTTGAGCTTGAGCTTGAGCTTGAGCTTGAGCTTGAGCTTGAGCTTGAGCTTAAGCCTGAGCCTGAGCCTGAGTCTGAGCCTAAGCCTTAACCTTAAGCCTTGTCTGCGCCCTCACCATCGTCTTGGCTTTATCCTAAGCTTTGCCTTCACTCTAAAAAAACCATATTTGAGGCTTGAGCCTAAGCCTAAGGTAAGATGAACCTAATCCTCAACCTTAGCCTTAAAGACTGTCCTAGCTTTAACCTTATATTAGCCTCAGCTCTATCAAAAACCATAGTCGTTTACCAACTCGAAACTTTCTAAAAATTGCCAAAAATGCCCTTTTTAGTTCAATTCCAAACCAATTACCCATACATAGTACATACTTATATATATGTGTATATATAAGTATATATATATATCCACATGCCCTTTGAAGTTTACACGTACTTTGCGGTCAAACCTATTAGTATATAAAACGCTGTGTTTTAGTAGTAACTAACAATAATTAATATGCTACTGAGTCATGTAATATAATAGGTTTGAAAAGGCTTTTGTTACTCCAATGATGTGTTAATCATGAGAAACTTGAACACAATTGTTTTGGGAAAGTTTAGGCTATACTATACTCGTACACTATGAAAGGTTCTATTGTCATAACACGTATTTTTAACCTCCTATTTTTGCAAGACAACACCGCCGCGTATTTTACAAAAGTAAATCAATTTGAAAAATTCGGAAAATTTTAAATTTTGAATTGTGTTGCGTACCACACCCAACCAGTCTAACATATTTGGTAAATATTATATAATACAATTTTAACATGTCAGTAAAGTAAATTGCCCACGGATTAGCGCACAATTTTAGCTAGGTCAAAAAAAGATTATAACCACAAAAATGTCAGCATAAAGCGTTTTAATAGCAGTGTAGTACTATGCAGTTTGTTGCGTTTTTAACTAAATTTATAGTCAAAAAAACAAAAATTAAAGTATTAATAGCTAATATGATGTCTGTACTTTTGTTCGTAATCGCTAGTCCTAACCCGCCGCCTTAGTCTAGAGCCCTAGCCCAGAGCCCTAGCCCAGCGACCTAACCCACATCGCTTGCCCCAAGCCCTAGCCCGTAGTAGACATGAAGAACGAGCCAGCTTTAACTCTAATTTAAGTCGGGCCGAGCCTAAAAATCAAAACCCAGCTTAGCCCGAAATGCCCGAACCGTTTGTACATAAACAAATTTAGACCGTCCCAAACCTAGCCAAAACTTAGATCGAACCAAGCCTGAAATATAGACCCGGTCCGTTCTTCATGTCGAGCCCAAGGTCCTAGCAGGTAGCCCTAGCCCCGAGTCATAGCGCTAGTTGCAAACCCTAGCCCCGAGCCCTAGCACCAAATCCTAAATTCGAGCTCTAGCTCTTGGCCCTAGCTTCAATCCCTAGCCTAAAGCCCTAGCCCCGAGCCTTCACCCAGAATAGAAATGAAGAACGGGCCGGCCTTGACTCATATTCAGATCAAGCCAAGCCTTAAAAATAGGCTCGGCCAGGGTTATTCCTCATTTCTAGCCCAGAGCCCAAGCCCTAGCTTTTAATGAGAGAAATTTAATTTGCCAAACCTAATTTACATACATTCATCTCTCCTCTCACTTTGTCGTCATGATGTTATGACAAGTCTGCAAGAAAAGGCCGTATGAGTTTTTGATACTCAAAAGCAATTTGGACAGCGTTTTTTATTCATAAATTGGGAACAGACAAATTGAAGGACAAGTGTTCAAGTACAAGATTAACAATGTTCGTGTTGTACTTTAATCAAAAAACAACAAGCTTTCTTTACAAAACAAAAAATAGCAAGAACTTTCTTTACAAATCAAAAAATGGCAAGAACTTTCTTTACAAATCACAAAATGGCAAGAACTTTCTTTACAAAACAAAAAATGGCAAGAACTTTCTTTACAAATCAAAAAATGGCAAGAACTTTCTTTACAGGAGAAAAATAGCAAGAACTTTCTTTACAAATCAAAAAATGACAAGAACTTTCTTTACAAAACATAAAATGGCAAAAACTTCCTTTCCACCTTCAAAAATGCTTAAATTAAGCCTAAAAAACAGAAGTAAAGGATAAACAAAGCTGGTCGATATTAGCGTGCTCCTTTGTCCTTAACAACTCTCTTACTCTGTTCTCTTCTCTGTTCTATTGAGAACGGAAACATTCGGCCAAAGCTTTCTTGGCCATAAAAAGCGAGTAAAAAACAGGCGATTTTACATATTTTACAGAGTTCAAACATGGCAGTAAACTTTGGCAATTTTTAAGCTTAAGATGACATTTTAAACCTGAAAGTACATTTTAAAAGCTAAAATGACTTTTCTTTGCCTAAAGTAAAGCCGGTAAGCCTAAACAGACATATTAATTATGACATTTTTAAGCTTAAAATGACATTCGTAAGCCTAAAAAGAAATTCATAAACTTAAAATAAAATTCGAAAGCCTAAATGACATTTTTAAGCCTAAAATGACAGTTGTAAGCTTAAATGACATTCGTAAGCCTAAAATGACAGTTGTAAGCTTAAAAAAAATTTGTAAGCCTAAAATGAAAATTTTAAGCCTAAAATGACATTGTAATCCTAAAATAACATTCACAAACCTAAAATAAAATTCGGAAGCCTAAATGACGTTTTTAAGCCTAAAATAACATTGTAAACCTAAAATGAAATTTGTAAGTTCAAATTGACATTCATAAGCCTAAAACGACAGTTGTAAGCTTAAAATAAAATTTTTAAGCCTAAACTGACATTTTCAGCTTGAAATAACATTTTAAAGCCTAAATAGATTTTTAGGCTTAAAGTGACATTTTTGAATCTAATATAACATATATAGGTCTAAAATTACATTTATAAACTTAAAATTTCGTTTAAACCTAAAAATGTCGTTTTCATTCCTATATGACACGCCTAACTCAACATTACGTTTTTAAGCCTAAAATGACATTTTTAAACTAAATTTTTTAAAATTTTAGACACATTTTACCTCAAGAAGAATTTTGAAAAACTAAATTCATGACAAGCCATTTATGACTAGTATTGAATCTCTCTAATTTGTTCATTCAGACCCTTTACCCAAAGGCTTAAAATAACTTTAAAGTGAGGTTAATTCGAGCCAAAAATAGTTTTGTCTTTAACAATTGTAAAGTAGATTGCAGCTGTATTTACACCATATCTAATCCTGTGTAATTGTGTTTACATTGCTATTAGGTATTAATAATAAGGCTGACATTAAAAAATACGTTTTTAATAGATCTTTGGAACCAGTTTTGCAAAATGACATTTTTAAGTTTAAAATAACATAGTTAAAGTTAAGATGACATTTATAAGCCTAACCTGAAATTTGTAAGCCTAACATAAAACAATTAAATTTAAGGTAAAATTGGTAAGTCTACAATGACATACTTAAGCCTAAGATGACAATTATTAGCCTAAAATTACATAGTTAAACCTAAAGTGACTTTTAAGCCTAAAATAACATTCATGAACCTAAGCTAAAATTTTTAAGCCTAACATGACATAATTAGACCTGATATGAATTTTAGGTCTAAAATGACATTTGTAAGCCTACAATGACATTCATAGGCCTAGTACGACATTTTAAAACCTAAAATAACTTAGTTAAACCTGAGCTGCCATTGTAAGCTTAAAATGACATTCTTAAGCCTAAAATGACATTTGTAAACTTACAATGCTATTCTTAGGTCTAATATGGCATTTGTAAGCCTAAAATAACATAATTAGACTTGAGATACATTATAAGCCTAAGATGACATTTGTAAACTAAAGATGACATTTTTAAGCCTAAGACATCATTTTACAGCCCAAAGTAACATTCCCACCGCAATATGACATTTTGACCTTACCCTGGCACATTCAAATTAAAAAAAATAAAATCCACCCCTACCTGACGCACTACTCCCATGCCGTTGCAGCGAATACGACGAGCTGCAAAACTTTTGTGCTGCCGGCGAATGAAACGAAAAGGAACCAGCCGACCTGGGCACGCCACCACTGCTCGGGGTCTGTGCTCCACTGTGCATCCCATTAAAACTGTCATTCATACCGGTCGGTGTACCAATGGTACAGATCTGCGCGCCCAATATCGACCCACTTCGACTGGGCGCACGCTGCGGCAACAGCGATGATTGGCGTGACAGGCTTCGGAATTTGATGGATTCTGTGTCAGAATCCGACGCGTTGCTGAAGCTCTGACCCATACCGTGCAGCATCATGAGGGAGGAACGTTGGAACGGTGGAGAGTGGGCACTTTGAGAGCGTACTGGTCGTGAGAGGACGGGTGAGAGGAGGATGGTGGGGGAGACATTACCGGCTGGCGTGGACTGAAATTTTGAAATTAGGTTTTGATGAAAATTACTGTAGAACTCCTGTATAACGAATTGCCAAATATTTTAAATTTTTAAATAAAGGCAACATTTAAAGCCTTAATGCAAAGTTTAAGGACAATTTTTAAACTTTATTTGATAATTTGAAAAGTTTTAAATTTTTTTTTAATTTTTAAAATTTAAAATTTTTAAATGACATTTTAAGCCCAATATGACATTTTTAGGCTTAAAGTAAAACTTTAAAGCTTGAAATGACATATTTAAACTCATACTTACGTCGATAAACTTATGATAACATTCTTAAGCCTAAAATGACATTTTTAAGCTTAGGTGCCATTTATAAGCCTAAAACGGCAACTTCAAGCTTAAGGTGACATTTTCAGTTTCAAAATGGCATTCTTAAGCCTAAAACGATATTTAAAAGCCTAAAGTGACATTTATAAGCTTAAAATGACATTTGTAAGCCTACATATAGCTTTTAAGCCTAAATGACAGTTTTAAGCCCCATATGTTATTTTTAGGCTTAAAGTATCATTTGTAAGCTTAAAATGACATTTTTAAGCCTAAAATGACATTTTTAAGTCTAAATGACATTTTAAAGCTTAAATGACATTTTTAAGCCTAAAGCACTATTTGTTAAGCTTAAAATGACATTTTAAAGCCTAAATTGACAATTATAAGCCTCAAACATTTTGCCTTATAATGGCATTTTTGACAATTATTTGTAACGCCAATATGACGTTTTTAAGCCTAAAATCACAGTTTTATGTCTAAAGTGACATTTTATATTAGAAATGTCATTTTGACTTTCAAATAAGCCATTTTTTTCTAAAATCACCCCCAAAACCAAAAAAACCAGCCCCAATCACCATGTGTTAACTTGGCTTCACCTGAGTGCTAAACGGCCTGAGGCCCGGCACCTGTAGCTCGTTGGGCGGTGTTTCATTGTCATCGGAAGCGTAGCTAGCGAAAGAATAAGATCGCGACGTCGCGGACGCGAGCCCCGGCGATAGCATGTTAGTAGTGATGGTACTGGACGAGGCTTCCGAACAAGCCGAGTAGGCCGAAATGTTACTGGCACGTCGAGGTGGGGGTGATAAGAGGCGTGGCACGTCTTCAGCTGCAAAATCGTCACGTGGCACCTGGAAAGGTTAGGAAGCGGGTTAGAGAAGGTATGGTTAATATTGGCAATAGATGTCATGGCCTGGGGGTGGGTTTTTTGAGACGGGGGCCCTGGGGAGGAGGGAGGATAGATTATTAGGAAAGGGCGAGGTAAAAAAAATTTTGGGTGGGGAAAGAGGAGGGAGAGAAAAAAAATATTTTTGAAATTATTAAATAAAAATTTTGTTTTAAATTTTTTAAGGGCAGGGTAAAAAAAATTTTTTTTAGTTTTTAGAGGGGGGGGTGGATAAAAAAATTTTTTTCAAAGCATCAGCCAAAATAAAAAAATTCCAAGAAAAATCAAATCTTTTTTAAAAAATTTTTTCGGGCAGGGTAAAATTTTTTTTGAGGGCGAGGCAGGAAAAACCAATTTTTTTTTAAAATCAATCGAAAACGAAAAAAAACGATCAAAATTAAATTTTCGAAAATTTGTGTAGGGTACAGAGGGTAGAAAAAGAAGAAGGAAGGGATTGTCGATCTTCGTCCAGCCCTGGCCATGACTCAACATATTAGGTGCGGACATAAAGAACCCGCCATACTTTTCCTGTAATTTACTGTAAAAAAATGGCGGATTCTTTGTGTTGGTACCAATCGTTAAAATAAGCTAGAAATGTTTCTAGTAAGAAGCTGAAGATGATTAATATTAGTTATTTGAGGTTAAGAATAAGCTATCATACTATAATATGTGATTATAACATGAGTTTATAGAAATAGGCCTAACCCCAGCTTCCAAACCATAGGTTTATATATTAGGTGCCGACATAAAGAACCCGCCGTTTTTTACAGGAAATTACAGGAAAAGTGTGGAGGGTTCTTTATGTCGGCACCTAATACAGGAAGAATACTATACCATGAGCCCAGATGGAAATCATAAGAGATACTATACCATGAGCCCACGAAATGTAAAACCATAAGTAAAACATGCCTTCAACCATGTGATAAAAGAAGATTTCAAAGTTTTCGAAAAGCCTAATACTATTATATAAAGAATCTGTAAATAAGCAGCTTTCAGATTTAGATTTCAATGACAGCACGATACTATTGAACGTCCAAAACATACTAACAGACAAGGAAGAAAACAATAAAGAAGGCTAACTTTAGGTCTTCCGAAAACAAAAAAAACTGAATTTGAAAGTATTAAATAGTATTGAGATTAAAAGGTCCAAAACATAACCTTAGCCAAGAGTGGTAGCTCAGAGCCCTAGCCCAGAGCTCTAGTCCCGAACTCTAGCCCAGAGCCCTAGCCCAGAGCCCTAGCCCAGAGCCATAGCCCAAAGCCCTAGCCCAGAACCCTAGCCCAAAGCCTTAGCCCAAAGCCTTAGCCCAGAGCTCTGGCTTAAGCTCTAGCTAGACATAGGGAACGACCTGTGCCTGAATGTTAAATCAAGCCTGATTTAAGCTTTTTCTAGGCCGGCCTGATTTAAATTTTTTTACTTGGGTTAAGGCCGGGCTTTTCAAGCCGCGCCGGGTTTTTTTGAGATTTCCAGGCCCGAGTTCATATAAATATTGCTCAGGTCTGGCTCGTTCTCCATGTCTAGCTTGAACCTACCTTTATAACATAGCATAAACCCTAGACTTATTTACAGCTTAAGTTCTAGTCCAAGATCTAGCTCAAAGCCATAGCTCTAACTCAAAGCCCTAACTTAAGCTCTAGCCTACCTCTGTATCCTAGCATGAACCCTAGACCTATTTTTAACTTAAGTCATAGCCCGAGCCCTAACCTTTTTCTGTCTCACAGTCTTAGATTAAAAAGGAAGAGTCCTAGCCCAGAGCCCTAGCCAAAGAGTCCTATCTCGAGAGTTCTAGTCCGAGAGTAATAGCCCAGAGTCCTAGCCCAGAACCCAGAGCATTAGCTTAAGCCTCTAAAGCTAGTCCTAGCCACAACCCCAGTTCAGAGTTTTAGCTTAGAGCCCTAGCCCGAAGCCCTAGCCTAGGGTTTTACCCCAGAACCCTAGCCCTAACATTAGCTGCAGAGTGACATTTGCCAGACATTATTTACAAGCTTGGAGTGTAACACAAAGTTCCCACAGCCCATATGACAATAAATAAGCCAATTGTGACACATTTTTTCCCCATTTCCAAATGCAAAAAACTAATAGGAAAATATTTAGAAAATAATCTGACACTCGTGCCCTAAGGCCTTGCAAAATTGTATTAGAAATTTGATTATGTGTTATGAAAGGATGTTATATTTTAATTGACTTATGTTCTTAAGCTCTAAATTGTAAAAACATGTTTTTAAGCAAAGTAGGGCTAGGAAAATATTATGACTGAATTTTGAAAGACAAAAAACAAACTTGGCTAATCTTCAATAACAAGATTAAAAGTATAACAGATTCTCATAGCCTTAAACTTGAAAAGTCAGTCTTACAAAGAATAGTTAGACTTAGCCTTTGCCTAGCTTTTTTCTTAGTCTTAGTCCTACTCCTAACTACATATAATCCTAGCTTGTGATTGCAAATCATATACTTTACCTATCTAAGCCCTAAGTTAGCCCTACACTTAAATTTGCTTTAGCTTCTAGTTTATGTTTGCTTTAGCTCTTGCCCTACTCTAGCCTTTCTATCATCATATCTTGGACCCCTTTTAATCCTGCTCTAGCCCTACCTTAACTCTAACTTAAGTCTTACTTTAGCCTTACTACAGCTTCTAGCTTAACTTTTATCTAGCCCTTCTTTAACCTTATATTCTCTCTACTTTGGCTTTATTCTGGTTCCACCTTAACTCTAACTTAGCTTCAACCTCAATCTTAGTTTAGTCTCTACTTTAGTCTACAGCTAGCCTTACCTTGGCCTTATTTTCGCCCTACACTAACCTTTCTTCATATAACAAAGAAAGTTTGACAAAGTATAGAACACGGCTCTTATGAATATGCATGATATATATGAATGTAAATGTAAAAGTAAACGTAAATGTGTATTGGTAAGCAATAAAAATGTAAAAAATGTAATTCATTTACGTTACACTTTCAAACTTTTACACTATGTAAATAGTGCATTTCAGTACGTGCAAAAATAAATTTTCAAATTTAAAAGCTAATTTTTAAACCTTAAAATTACGTTTTCTACCTAAAAAACTATTCTTTCGCCTTACATTAGCTTTAGCTTTAGCCTTAGTATTTGTTTGAAAATTAGCCTTAAGCTTAGCCTTAGTCATACTTTTATCTTTAAAAGTATTTAGCTCTAGAACTTAAAAACACGATTAAATTTGCAAAAGACATGCCAAAGAGCATTTGGCATAGACACTTTTATTCTTATATAGTAGTAAACAATATTATTATATTTTCTCCACTACTTTATTAGACTACCTTATTAAAAATGACAAGACAAGTAGCTAATACAAAAAAAAACTATAAAGAAAATTAACTTAATTTAAGTAAATATTATAATATAATAAGCTAAACTGAGGCTTTGCTGTACTAAGTGACACGTTTAATCATAGAACAAACGTTTTGAAGCCATAAAGAGTAGCATATATTTTATAGCATAAACGATGTATTACTGTTTACTAATCTGACATTTTATAGCAGTCTTAGCTTAGCCTTAGCTTGAGTTAGTCCTAAGCCTCATGCTAGCTTTAGGCAAAGTTTAGCCTAAACTTCCTATCTAAAGAATACTATTACTAAACTCCTTACTATTATAATTTTCCTCTAGCGTAACTTCTCCCACAAGACCTATTATAAAAATGTAATATGAAACAAATAACGTTTGCAATTAGAGTGCAGACTCAGTTAAGAAAGAGCAAAGTATATAAAGTACATGTACATGTTGAACTAAAGTAAAATGATAACATTATCTTGTCCTACTTTTTAAGAAAAAATTTAGATCTTGTTTGTTTTACCTAATCTTATCCTAGGCCTTCTAAAGCCTTAATCTACCCTTATCCCTGCTAGACTTTGCTCTACTAGCCTCCCCATAGCTACATTTCGACCTGGACTCCTTTAACATCAGCCTTAATATAGTTTATATGTACATTAAGTGGACTCTAGCTTTTTTTTGGCCTTATTCTAGCCCTACTTTAACTCTGCTCTAGTTCTATCGTAACCCAACTTAGCCTTGACCTTAACCAGGGTCGAGCGGAGACTTTTGGTTTAGAGGTGGGGGTCGAAAAAATCCACAAGGGGAACCACGTTCAACTTTTTCGAAATTTTTTTTGGTGGTGTGTTCCCTCTCCCCTCCCGTCCACCCCCACCCCCTCCCCTCACGCCCGGCCCTGACCATAACCGTACTTTAGCCTTTTGTTTATTTCTATTTAGCCTTATCTTGGCTTTAACTAACTCTAACTTCTCCCTACCCGAAGCCTTACTATAGCCAACTACGCAACTTAAAGTTTGGTGGGAAGTAATACTACCGTCATGAGACTTCTATCTTATGTATAGACTTTATCTATCACATATCAATACTATTAGCTTAAATTTTAATACCATTAACAAAAGACGAATTGATACCTAAAAAATCAACGTCAAAACCTTAAAACCCCAAAAAAATTTAAAAAATGTAAAACACCCCTACCTGTAAAAAGTGGCTTGGTGAAGCAGTCCGCATCCATGGATTCAGCCCAGTTGGTTCGGGCGTGGGTGTTGAATTTACGATAGCCGGAGGTGGTTTGAAGCTGAGTTGGTTGCAATTTGGAGAAATCGCGATTTCAGGCGAGTCGCAGTCACTTGAAGGTGGACTGGGCGGGTTTAAAAATATTCGAATCGCTGACAAATGGGACGCTAGGCGTCGCATTCGAGAGTTACGACGGGGTTGGGGCATTGTTGTGGGAGGTGGATTATGTGCTAGGTAGAGTTGAAGGTAGTAGTAGCTCTACTGTACTTAGAAGTTGTGAATATTGGTACTAAATAGTACCAAATGAAACAAAGGGTCGCAGTCGTACTGTACTTAGAATTTGTAGGTATTAGTACTAAATAGTATCAAATAAACCAAAAAGTTGTTTCGTACTGTACTTAAGAGATGTAGGTATTAGTACTAAGTAGTACCAAACGTACCAAAAGGTTCTAGTATTAGTTCTGTAGTTTTAAAATCAAAGTACAATACTGGAGAGTACTAAACGTACAAAAAAAATATAGTACTAGTACTGTAGTAAAAATTATGGTACTTTTGTGTTCTTTAGCAAAAGAACGTATCACAGTATCAGTGAGTAGTAGAAAAACGTACTATAGGTATAGTACTAAGCTAAAAATTATATTATAGTACCACCCTGTACTATAAAATAGTATCACAGTATCAGCACGTAGTCAAAAAAAATTATCACAGTACTAGTACGTACTATAAAATTGTAGTACTATATCAGTACGTAGTAGAAAAAACGTATCACAGTATTAGTTCGTATCATAAAACTTAGTACTATGTCAGTACTATATCAGCACGCAGTAGAAACACTTTATCACAGCTTCAGCACGTAGTAATCACAGTATGTAGAACAATATGTGTTGCGTTACAGCCGCTGTAACTCGACTGCCATTCTTTTTCTGACTTCCCTTCACTGTGGTATGAATAAAGTCGTTAGTATAAAACTGCAAGAGAAAACAGCACGAAAATACGATAACAATATAAAAAATCGGATTCTTTAATTATGCATGGTGAGAAGATACATTATAGTACGTTTATATGTATATACAGTTTATAAAGTAAAAGTGCTTTAGCCTTAACCTAAGCCTAAGCCTGAACCTATTTTTGAGCCTGAGAATGAGCCTCAGACTAAGCTTCAGTCTAAGCTGGAGCCTAAACCTGAGCATGACCCTTAAGCTAAGCCACAGTCTAAGCTTGAACCTGAGCTTTAAAATAACGCTCAAATTGAGCCTAAGCCTGAGCCTGAGCCTGAGCCCGAGCATAAGCCTGAGCCTGAGCCTGAACTTGAGCCTGAGCCTGAGCCTGAGCCTGAGCTTGAGTTTGAGCCTGAGCCTAAACCTACGACTGAGTCTGGCCTAAACTTGAGTCTGAACCTAAGCCGGACACTAAGCCTAAAGCTGGGCTTCAGACTAAGCCTGATACTAAGCCTGACCCTAAACCTGAGCCTAAAGCTAAGATTGAGCCTGAGCATGGGCCTTAGACTGAGCGTCAGTCTTAGTTTGAACCTGAGCCTGAGCTTTGATATGAACCTGAGTTTAAGCCGAAGCCTGAGTTCATACTGAGCTTACGCCTAAGGCTAAGCCTGAGCCCGAACCCAAGCTTGAGCCCGAGCATAATTCTGAGCCTTAGTCTTAACCCAAGTCTTAGCTTTAAAGCCTAAGCCTGACACAAAACGTATCACCCTGTTTTAGTTTAACCCCCTTCCCTTCCTACCCCAACCTCTACTACTCCTTCTTACAATAAAGACACTACTCACGCTGAGGCAAACCCTCATTTATAATTTTCCAATACTCCGTCTTATTATAGCTCACATGCCAGTCATAAAACAATTATGCGGCAATTAAAATACTGTGAAATATGAAAAACAATTACATTTGTCTCATGAGCTGATACAAAAAACACTTTTATTAGTTCGAGTATTGCAATTATAGTACACAGCCATGCGTGACTCTATATACAAATACGTGATAAGTTTAGTGAAAATGGCAGAAATGAGTTGTTGGCAAGTTTTCAAGTTTTTAAAAGTGTCGTACTATATAGTACGTCATAAAATCATAGTAGTACCAGACCCGACTCTTGTTTTACCCCCGCCCTACCTTCGCCCTACCCTCGACCATGCTTTTCTTCCCCCCCCGCCCATCCCCAATTGCCTTTACCTTCCCCCTCCCCCTTCTCCTCTCCCTTTCAGTTCCCTCCTCCCTCAATCCCCCTCCCCCCCCTAAGCACTAAATCGCATTTTCTTTCCCAAAAAACCCGGCCAACAACCCGTAATGTCAAACTTAATACCCGCCAAAGATAGAAAACAGCCCTGTCGGCTGCCATTCCTTCCTCACAATGATTCCATCTTCCACAATATCTCCTCTTCCTGTCAATATTTTACTATTCTATTCTGTTAATGCACACTTGTTTTAGCATAACTTTTGAATTTTAAATTTGGGTACAGTTGCTTACCCTACCCTACCCTTCCCTACCCTACCCTACCCTACCCTACCCTACCCTACCCTACCATATTCTTCTTTAACATGTCCTACTGTACCTTAGCTTTCAATAAATTACCCTGCCCAACACTACCTTTTCAAAGTCTACCCTGCTCTTCATGAAACCTCTTTTACCTACATACTTATAGCTCTAGCCCTATCTCTAACGCTAGCTCTAGAGCCCAGTCCGGCCTTTTGAGTAGTAACCTTACCTTACTATCGTACCCTACCCTACTCATTTAGCATTGTCACCGCTCTTTACCTAAATTTAGACGCCATGCCTGCCTTAATTGTTAATAATGCCCTAATATATCTTGCCTTATAACTATACAGTAAAAAACATTATTTTAACATATACTTCCCATTTAATATTAAGTTTGTTCAACTAATGCTATGCCCTTCTCAAAACAAGTATTTTAATGAAAGGGGCACATAATTATTTGAACAGCTCAATGATACTACTCTTCCTTACACTACGGCTATACAGTACGAGATATACGGCCCCAAAACATTAATCTGCCCTACATTACCCTATCTACCCCATTCTACACTATTCCATTCCACCCTACCCTACTCCACCCTATTCTACCCTACCCTTCCTCTATTTTACCAACTAAGAAAATGCAAAAATAGAAAAACCAGTCGATATTCAGTGAAGTTTTTTATGATCTTCTAATTTTACGGTTGCGTTATTTCCGATCAAGAAGATTCGCTTTTATCTGTTTTCGGATTCGAATTTCGAGAAGACGAAACCAGTGTGAATTGCCGAAGGGCAAAGAACAAAGTAAACATAGACTAATAGATGCATTTTTCAGTTAAAAATAGCAAGAACTTTCTTTACAAAAGAAAAAATGGCCAGAACTTTCTGTAAAAATCAAAAAATAGCAAGAACTTTCTTTACAAAGCTTAAAATGGCGAGAACTTTCTTTACAAATCTAGAAATGGCAAGAACTTTCTTTATAGAATGAAAAGTAGCAAGAAATTTGTTTACAAAATATAAAATGGCAAGAACTTTCTTTACAGATTATAAAATGGCAAGAAAAAAAACAAAAATGGCAAGAACTTTCTTTAAAAAATTTAAAAATGCAAGAACTTTGTTTACAAAACATAAAATGGCAAGAATTTTTTTTCTCAAGCCTAGGCTTAGCCTTAGCCTTTGGCCTAGCCCAACCCTAAGCTCTGAGCTAAGATCATAGTGCCAAAAACAAAAGTATGTCACTTTTAAATGTAGTAAATCTCAAAAAATATTACCACAACATTCAAAAAAGCCACTCATAAGCCCTACCCATGCCCTTGAAGCAAATAGCCTTTTTTCATTGGCGGTCGATTAAAAACGACTAATCCGCCAATATTTCAATTCTTTTTGTTTTCCTTAAGGCACGCTTGAATAAACACCAAATCCAATCTGGTATGGAGATGTACGTGAAATTAAATAAATGAGCTGGTTGTTTTCATTCCCCCTTCTCTCTCACACTGTCAAATCCCCTCAAGTTTTTATGGCACATTTAAAAAGGCATGGCTGGGTAGGAGTAATAAGGAAAAGAGGGGATGACCGGGGAGGGGGGAGTAAAAGGGAAGGGGAGGGGGAGAAGGAATTGTCGGGGCGAAGGTACAGAAGGGTAAGGTAGAGTAGAGCTAGAGTAAGACCAGAATAAGACTTCTACGAGCCTCAAGAAGGCGAAAGTAAAACCATAGTGAAGTTAGACTAGCACTCTTAAGTTTAGAATAGATCTCAGGCTAGGCTTAAAGTAGCACTTATTCTTAGGCTAGAGCTTAGTTGCAACCTGGGGCTATAACTACCGCTAGAACTAGAGGTAGAGCTACAGCTACAGCTACAGCTACAGCTACAGCTAGAGCTATAGCTAGAGCTACAGCTAGAGCTACAGCTAGAGTTAACTACCGCTAGAACTAGAGGTAGAGGTAGAGGTAGAGGCAGAGGCAGAGGTAGAGGTAGAGGTAGAGCTAGAGCTAGAGCTAGAGGTAGAGCTAGAGCTAGAGCTACAGCTAGAGCTACAGCTAGAGTTAGAGCTAGAGCTATAGCTAGAGCTAGAGCTAGAGCTAGAGCTAGAGCTAGAGCTAGATCTAGAGCTTCGGCTAGTGGTTAGACAAATGTTTGGCTTGGGGGTAAAGCTCTAGCTACGTTTAAAGCCAAAGCTAGAGTTTAGACTAACTCTTAGACTAGAGTTTAGGCTAAAACTTGCCTTAGGATTTGGTCCAACGCTAAAGCTTACTCTAGAGCTCAAACTAACTCTTAAACTAGTGAATAGACTAGAGTTCTAGCTAGAGCTTCGGCTAATTATAAGAATAACGTAGCTCAAAGATGGTTCTAACTTTATCCTACACTATTTTACCCTACGCCAGCCTACCTCATCTTACCTTACCCTACTCCACTCTAATCTACCCTACTCCCAACAAAACGAAAATACAAAAAGCTCAAAGCCATATCCAAACCCGCACCATGCCACAATATCCGTAACACACGTCCCCGCCGCCATTAAACGTGCCCATTCGAAACGTGTCGTTTTATGGCCCAGATGTATATAATTCGGTCATACGAAATGTAAATATCTTTTATAAAAACGAAAAAACGGGAAAAGACGGAACAAAATTGATGAATATGCTATTCGAATTTGGACATTTCCGGTCGCTTTTCGACTGTCTAGAGCTTGTAGTCATCAA